GCAAAACTCTAAACTGCAAAATTATGTTACATTGAATAGTTTTCGACTGCCTCCATCTTTCCATTACCCCATGGTGCGCAAACCATGCTGACAAACTAGCTGTGTGCTTACTAGCTGTGTGATGGTAAAAGCTTCTCATACCGGGCAAGGCCCGGGCCTGTATTTCTCCAGATCAACCCCATCGCCACCTTCGTATTGTACACCTTGGTCCTGGTGGAGAGTCACGACAAAGGTTTTACCGGCGTGCGACATACTGAGCATGTTGTGCTTCAGAAAAGGAGATATTTCGCATACAATGCACCTGAGAAAAAGACAATCCCCCTGCCTCCAGTGTGTACCAGACACGCACTGCTCGATTGGAGTCGAATCGGACAGTGAGGAAATCCTGCTCCTAAGGTGAACAGGGACTGCCAGGGACTGGTTAAAACGGTATAAAGGCACTTGCAAGTCACTGGATGCAATACACTAGATAGATATAGATAGATTTTAAAAAATGATACAAGAGTACTGCAAGAGGGTACCCCACAAAAATGTATATTCTGCCCCTGCTGGAGCTTATGCTCATGAATCAACATGTTTTTGTGCATCAATCGCTGTAAAGTACTTAAATTGAAGGAATCCTCCAAACGGAGATCCACAACCCGCACTCAGCTCCTGCGATACTGGAACCTGCAAACGGACGAAACCAACGGAAGACATCAACGACCGGCCCTATTTGAGGCAACCTGTCTTGTGTTCACCAGATTTCAACATGTCAAAAGTCATCCTGGAAAACGCCCTTCAGGAGCTTCACAAAAAAAACACAAAACAAACGAAGCGCCTCCACCCAAACAGTCACCACTGCACCAGTTTGCCTCAGTCACCACGCGGGAAGTTCCGTGTTCGATTGAGAGTGGTCAAGGCCGCAACTCCACCACGTGGAAGTTCAGTCCATGGCCTGGTGGAGTGTGGTAGTGGCTTGGTGTCTTTTTTGTGTCCGACGATAGATCACCGTCACCAAAGTTTCAGCGATGTTCACTGAACGAGCTCAAGATGTTCAATGATGCTTGGTGAAAAGCTCAATGATGTTCCATGGTCAGTCTTCATGCTGGCGCCAGAGCCATCAAGCACCCACCAAGTCCCCCGAAACCCTCTTACTCAAATGTCACCAAATACACACTGTGAATGACGCTTGACCCTTTTGGACTGGGTAAGGCTTACCGTGAAAATTATCAGTCCAAAACTGCCATGTTCACAATGCCAAACACATGGGGTTGGCATCACAAATTGACCCTTCATATGCGACACACATATGCCTGCATGCAACACTAATTATCCAACAAACGCTAAGATCCCAAAAGCCAGGCCTGCTCGCATGTCTCCCACGGCTACAGCCACCTTGGTCACTGGACTTGCACGCAGGCGGCAATCGCTCTCACGCGCTTGCACCGATCATCAACCTTCTGGTTTCAGGAAATACACTCTGTATCACTCTGTCCATGAAGTACTAACTGCTGAGAGGTCTCAGTACATGTTGCATTCTGTCGACTGGATGACACAAAAATGTATGTCATTGTATGTCTATACCACACTGAAAGGAAGCAACGGGGTATATACAGGCTTGCACAGGAAAGCAGGCTTCAGAGTAAATCAAACCCTTGCCAATCTTGAGTGGAGCCAATTCAATCTGTGGAATCTTGAAACCTCTGTCAGTAAGTCCACAGCCAATCCTTTTGCAGACTGTTGTTCAGAATTCACACTGGTTCTGTGGACAATCGCTGCGGATGCAACGCAATAGCTGCTAGTCCAAGCAAATGAAACGGCATCATGTGTCTGCATTGTGACCAGAAGTACTGTACCTCATCCAAATTTTGGAGCTGCCGAGCATCTTCTTTGACCCATAAAGCTCATCGGTTCGTTCGGGTCAATCATTGCGGGGCCATCTGGCATGAAGCTGGTAGTGCTCCATGCAATAAGGGCCTTTTTTTTTGAACTGTCCCTTGCGCGAAGCTTTTCCTTCGGCGACCAAGTTCTCAACAGAAAGATGTCACTCTCAATGCTTCGCTTGCTCCGCAGAATCTGAGGCCTTCACGGCATTTGCCTCTCCAGCAACCAACTTCCCTTCTTTGGAGACATGGGTAAACCTACACGTGTGCAGCTCCGGATGATCTGGATCACATCCAAAAAGCCAAAAGAACCATGCTAAATCGGCTAAATCCTAGAAACATATTTTCAGAGAAACATGCTATATAATTAAAGATGTTTATGCTAAATGCGCATCTTCTCACAGGCCATTCACCAATCCGTGTGAAAGTGTTCATGAAACATCTTTCAGCTTCCCCGATCCTGATTGGCTGCGCATCTCTTGGATATAATCGCCAAGTCCAACCCTTGGATGGACTCACCACCTCCAGTCGAGTTCCATGTCGGGGGAAGTATTCATTGATGGGAACAATCTGCTCAGGGAACACAGATGCAACATCCAATGCAGAGCTTGGTCTATTTCTGAAGGCTTACCTGCTCACTTTACCTCACAAAGAAGTTCCCAAACAACAAAAATGGACCAAAATACGAAACTGAGGCTGCATGGACGACGCTTCACAAGCTTGTACAAGCTCTGGTCAGTCCACCAACTGCAGAGGTGGAGGGTTGGACCTGGAAGCTGAAGGACTGAGATGTTAGACGTAGGCACATGGCTAAGCGCAAGGTGTCCTGGCGCTCCCAAGGCAAATGCTCGGCGCCACGACATAGCATTCCATGGCAAAAACAGCCCAACAGCGTTGCATGCTGGGCACACGTCACACAAAGACTGTTACAGTACGGCGTCCTGCTCCAATGCGACCCGCCTCAAACGGCTTGGTGCCTTGGGCAATGCCCGTTTGAGTGAAAGAAGTTTGAATCAAGCTTAATGATATACAATATGTCGTGCGTATTTTCCAACCAACAAGGACGGCACCAAAACTGAGTCTTAAAAAAATGCCGCAAAAGCAGGATGATTGCCACTAGCTATCTCAAGAATTTATCTAGGACCTGGCAAAGTCTGTTCGCCACTCGGCAAAGGTGCCTGACGTCCAATGCATCAAACACTCTTCCTAAAAACGGCCAACGTGCCGCGGAATCGCACCATGAAACAAACGTATTTCAATCTCTCCAAGGTATTTGCTACGGAAGCTGAAACTGAATATGCCATCTGTGCAAAAAAAGAAAACTTTGCCCACACCGGCATGTTAGTCAACAGCAGTATAAAACATCACACATACAACATCGGGGAAGACAAAATTAAATGTTGCTACTGCGATTACTAGTGGCAACAAGCCCCACTGGGGAGACTCGTATCAAAGGAAGCTGTTGCTACCCGGCCTGTCAAGTGCAAGGGTGTCCTCTCCAGCAGGCTCATCTCCCGTGCTGTCAATTTGAGCTACAGTATATGTATATATATATTATATCGTTATTTGGGTTGATCTGCGTGGCCCTTGAATTGGCCCAGCACTCCACTTCTGAAACCTGGTCAAGTGTCAAGTCAGTTCGGGAATTGCAATTCGAAGGAAATCAACGGAACAACTGTCTGCAGACATCAGACGTAGTGGACACCGGTGGAAACAAATTGCCCCACCAGTCTCCTGAGTTGTGGAAGATCTGATTCCTCCTACGCAGAGCTTGAAGACTTCGACGATCGCCACTAGCAAGGCATTGTTGAACATTGTTGAACCACTTTACAAGTGTCTAAACTTGAGAAGGGCCACCAAATTGTTGTGAACACGTCACAAACGAAAAGCAAACGCGTACAAATTATATACATCAAATTACAAACGTCAGGGTTTATCCTCCCGGCTAAACTGCTGTGATGCACTGCTACGAACGTGACCGCCATACAGGTGTCCCATGGTCTCCCTTGGCCAGTAAGACATGGCTCGAAGTGAACGTTTTTCATCCAAGGCATTGGTCCAAGGCCAGCAGCATGGCCCGGCCATGTGTTCATCCAATCCGTTTACAGAGGCATTGTCTACCCATTGGATCCCCCGCTGTCGACCATTGGATCCCACCCGAATGCGGCTCGACCAGAACACACCGCGGCTTCGGATCTGCGCCTCCAAGACCAGCCTCGAACGACGAAAGGATCGGGGTGTCATCGACGGGACAGTCCGGAAGCCAAAGCAGAATGATCTGAGCCTATTATAAAGGATCTAATAGCGATGGCCTCCAACCTAATAGACCTTGAACCTACTAGCGATGGCCTCCAACCTGGTAGCGATGAAAGGCATCCAGCCAAGCCAGAATGGCACCATGAAGTTCAGAATGGTGAGTCAGCTTGGGAACAGCCAAACCATGCCAAACAAATCGCTGTATTCACTTCACCCTACTTTACCCTGCTTCACCCTTTCAACCCTACTTCCACCTGCCTCTTGCTCGAAGCTTCGGCTTCACCTGATTGAGCAGGTGACTCAGAGAAGCCATCCTTCGACGAATTGAGCTCCATGATGGACCAAACCAGGCTCTGTGACCGAAAGTTGCTCTGTCCGTCCAATGGCTCTGCAACCTCTTGCTCTGACAGGAGGTGTTTGATGTTGCAGAAAAGATTGCAAGAACAAATAGACCAGCAGAACAGAAGCAGAACTGCAGCACACCAACCGCAAACCAGCAGCAGATCTCAATTCGTCAGTCTAACCCAGATCGCATCGAAAACAAAGAGCCTCACACGACGATCCACGCATCGTGGGTGACGTGGGTGACGTGCAGTCTGCGCGTCCGCGCTTTTGGTCGCCGCATTCCTGCATGCTTTGCCTTGCACACTGCAAGCTATGTCACTTTGCCCTGGTTCACAAGTCCAGGCGAAAATGCGGACACTCTCCTTCAAACCAAGGGTTTGTGCACGGCCCTCCTTCACTTCAAGGTGGGCCCTAGAATCTGGAAAAGCAGGCTATCTGCACTTGAAACAGCCCATATTAGGCTTTCTTCAGCCTGATGATTGCTGGAGGGTTAAGGCATCAAACAACATCAGCATCTGCTGAACAGCCCAAGGTTCACTCTTTGGCAACTGCAGCATCCATCTTTTCCAGCCAGGGGCCAATCCGCGTGTTCTCGACCATGTCTTGATATACATCATGACCTGCAAGTATCTGCAAGTGATTGATGCACAAATCCATGGTGTCTCGAAGGTCTATTTGAAGGGTTGTGTGACACAGAAGTTGAAAAGGACCCTGACCCCATGTGAATGTTGGTTCCAATACCAAGGCCCCGACCACGGATAGATTGCAAAACGCCATAGACGTCTAAATCTGCCAAGTCAGGACGTCTTCCACCGTGGAAAGGTTGAGTCTTTAGGGCCTGGCTGGTCGTTGTAGCAAGATGTGGCTCAGCCATTTCATGCTCTGTGGCCCGCCTGGTCCACAAACTGGTTCACTTGCCTCAAATTCCGATGTCCCAAAGTCAAGTTCATCAAATAACAACCTGCATTTGAGGTACCCTTGGAGTCTAGGATGCAAATTCAACCAATTTCATGTCTGTCAAGCTCACTGGGCTCACTTGTCATGCTACTTGACACGCTACATGATCCCTCTCCCTCCTGTCGACTATGACTAAGCGCCATGGGCTTGTGGCAAGCTGCTCATGAAACACAGATCGCCAATCATCGCCATCCTCGACATGAAACATCATTGAGCATCAATGAGCATTGACATTCCCACAGCTGATGAGCACAGGAATATGTGACCACTTCGTAAGACGTACGAGCCTGGCTTTACGAGTCCTTTTGAGACGTCCAAAGGTTTCTTACTGTTGGTGGGATGCTGTTCAGGGTCAGAGGTCACGCAGTCATGCGCCGTCCTTCAGCTCCCCTGCTTTCACCAAGGTGGGATAAGTCTTCTTGGCTGCTACCATATACCTTGGCTGCACTGGGTGTCCCACGATGAACTTGATTTAACAAAAGTAAAAAATAATCCTGGTGTGTTCATTGGTAAAACATCTTGATTCTGCAAATGGCAAATGTAATGCCATTGGTCTTCTTGAGTGAACATACCAAACGCTTGCAACGACAGCGGAAGACCCTAGAAGAAGCCAGAGCCGACATACAATGGGGAAAACCAGATCAGGTTCCCAAGCTTAGCAAGCTGCATATGCCTTATGTCAATTTGAGCGTAGCAATTTGATGTGATTGTAGCCTGGCAGGTATGACGAGACAAATACTGCATTCCGCCATGTTACATCACTGGAGCACCAACTACCTGGGCCGCCATGGCACGAGCTGTTGTTTTGAATGGGCCAGAAAACAGCCACCTGATACTGAAGCAAGGAACAATCAAATAATCAGTGCCTTGAATAATTAGAGCTTTTCAAACACATACCGTCGCATACGGCTTAATATCTTTCTTTGAAGGCTCTTAATTGACTCAACATGACAAGAATGTAGAAAGTCTGCCCAGCTCTTCTCTCCCCTTCACGTGTGCAAGAAGCTTTCAAGAAGAGCTTGTTTGCCAACGGAATGGTGTCGAACGCGTCAATATATCCTTGGCCACATCGTTCACAGTTCAACACTTTATGAACAAATCCGCCGGCCCTTGGGCGCCGGCGTGTTTTATCAATGTGGCTTGTATGTAGCTCAAGTTACAGTATGTTGAATCTATATGTAATAAGAAAAGTGTCTCTGGAGCAAGTTTTTGCCTCGTCTAACTTGACCCCCCCCCCCCCCCCCCCCCCCCC